AGGCAAATGAATTCAAAATGATATGTAATTATCGGCTTTTGGTGCAGGGAGGTCAAAGGTGTGGTTTTGTTAGATGGCATGATCCTCCAATGTGCGCAGGGTCAAGAAGAATTATTCCTGGTTTATTGAGAAGGATCAATCGAGATGAAGAAGAGATTGCACTGCTAAAAATGAGGCTACAAACTAATGTTGTTGTCAAAAGAAGCAACTGTGGACATGGCAAGGGTATTAGGATATGTGTAGTTATAGCAATATGCATTGTGTTATTTGCAGTTATAGTTGTGAACGTAGCTAGAGGAAAGAATAACCTTATGTTAGGTAGTAGTTTTGCTTATTGAAGAATTGTATTTGTAATTTGACAATTGTAAGTCTAAGCACAATGCAATCAAAATTGAGTTATGGTTTTTTGTATTAAACTGCTTCTGACAATGCATAATGCATACCATATTTGCACACTGCATACTGCAATCTGAAGGCCAAATACCATTTATAACAAAAATATCATATAAATAAGATCATTACAAATGTATTTCAAAACAAAGTAGATAGATCCCATTACATATCTAAAGGTCTGTAGACCCCAAAACACATCATAATTGGCATATAAATCCCATTACATATCAAAAGGCAATTGTCTAAGCCAACATTAACACATGCCAAATAGTGACCTAACAATTCATAAAAGTCACTAATCTAAAAAAACAGTAAGTAGTAGTTCCCTTAATCCAAAGTGATTGGATCTTTGTCATTCCCATAGAATTTAGACTTGAATGTGGTTGGTGATCTTGTACGATGCTTCTTGATTGGTAATTTCTTCCGAGTAGACTTGGTTCCATCACTTTGTCCTTTTCTTTTTCCTGTTACTTGGTGGTTTGCATCAGTTTTATTGTGTTGTTGATCTGCACATAGTAATAGATTAGATGAAATTATAAGTTGTGTTTTGACATTATAAGTGCACATGAATGGACTGGTTGTATAACTTACAAGGCACATTTGCTTGCATTGATTCTCCCACAACAGTGACTGGAATGGACAGACTGGAACTTAGTGAAGGCCCTACAATACATAAGAGTCAAATATTTGCATTTAGATGGCACATGGATAAGCAGTATAACATACCTCTAACAATGTCCTCTGCCTCAATTTGGATTTAGTGCCATTGCTCATCCAATATCTCATCTGGAATAAAATTTCATTTGCATCTATTCCAACTGCTGTCAACAATTGTCCTCCAGTTTTACACTTCAAGTGACACCCATCTAGGCCAATGATTTTCCTGCAGTGCTTAAATCCTTCCCTTGTAGCTTCCCAACAGATATACATCCTTAAAAATCTCTCTTTTCCATTTTCTTTAAAGTCACTCACCTTCACTTCACAAGTGCAGTTTGGATTAGTTCTTTTTATTTCCAAGACATAGCTCCAAATCTTATTGAAGTAATCTTCTGTTTCATGTTTAATTTCACCTTTTGCTTTCACTAAAGCCCTCCATGCTTGCTTCTTACTCAGAATGTAATGGTCATTAGTTAGGACTTTTTCTAAAAATGAATTAGTTTTCCATTCCAAATTTCCTCTAATTTGCTGTTTCCATCTCTTAGCAACAATAGAGGAATTGACCATTGAATTATTCTAAGTCCTTACACAGCCATCATGTTTGTCCTTCACCACTGATACCCTCCAACATTTATCATCTTTATTAAACCTAAGGGTAACCTGCCAAGGACAGCTTTCATGCTTGCACTTCACCACACATCTAACTTTGTCATTTTTGTGATATTTCATTTCCTTCCCCTCCTTGATTGCATAATTTGTTATAGCTTCTCTAAACTCCCCTTTATCTTTAAAGGTCAGTCCCAATTCAAATTTAGGACAAGTACGTTCAGATTCTTTCAAAAACTTTTGCCATTTGATCCCTATACCCTCACCATCACTGCCTACCATGTTCCCTTCATCAGAGTAGTTGACAATATCATCTACTGGTGGGGGTTGTATGGGTTGTGGGAGTTGGGGTTCTACATCACCTAAGCCTCCAAACTCTGCAGTAATATCTATATTCTTGACAAATTCTTCATCATCATGCACACTTATATCCTCTAACTCATCTGAATTGTATTCCTCATCAGTACAATCCAATTCATCCCCACTGCCACACCACTCAGACCCACTGCCATCATACTCCTCTTCATTTGCACTGCCAACATCTGCATCATCACCAATCCCTCCTTTTACCATCCAGATTTCTAAGACCTTAGGACTACAACATTGGTTAAGTAAATTCCAACACTCAAAGTCTTTAACCAATTCTTGCAACCCCATTTCTGTGGCCATGAAGTACCTCAAAGTATCATCCATTGCATAACCAATCTCCCCAACCTTCTCCTTTAAACAAATTAACCCCCACTCATCTTCTACCATATAATTAAATACACTAACACTGCCTCCTAAATATTTAGCTGGTAAATCTTGACTTATCATTCCTCCATGTCTTAGTTTAAGAGTAAAAATCCCTGAAATCAATGATTCAAATTTCCAATGCACTTTAGACAACATATAATGGTCCACTGTAATGCACACAACATGGAAGTCCACTTTACACTACTTTACAGTAAATGCTTTAGAAAAAAACAACAACTATGGTCCCCAACATATGCATAATCAGACAAACATTGGTCCACACACCATTTTCAACCACAAAAGGTCCCCACATGTACCTATGGTCCCCACATGTACCTATACTAAGCACAATATACAACAGACAACACAGAAATTATATACTAAACAACACAACACAAACATTCGGACCCCACATGTACCATTTCGTTCTCCTACACCATAAAAACAAGTCGGGGAACCAAACTTACCTGCTGGAGCAGAGTTGCAACCAACGCTAGCTTGCTTCCCTCTCGATTCCATCAATGTTCTTCGTTCGTTCTCTCCCAAGCTTCAACGCTAGACTGCGATTATGGTTTAAGATGGGGAAATTTGGGGATTTTCATTACCTAGCTTGCTTGCTTCCTTCTCAGCTACTGCGATTAGGGTTGGACAAATCAAAACGATTTTATAGAATAAATTGGGTATTTCAGAGCATCTCAACGACTGTGTATAAGATGGGTATTTTTGTATTTTATTTCACGTATTAAAGAGTACAAATACGCATATCAAGTAAATGTACCAAAATGCCCCTGAAATTGACGCTGACATAACACCCATTTGACGGAAGGACCTCAATTGGAAAGAATTTAATAGACAGATGGTTAAATTGTCCAAATTAAAAGACGGGGACCAAATCTGGAAAATCATCATACTCGGGGGACCATTGCTGGAATTAACTCTTTTTTTAAAAAAAAAAAAAAGTTTCAAATCATTTTTTTGAGTTTTAAAATCAAATTTTAATGAGTAATACTACATACCCCTTCTAAAAAATCTCTCATAACATTTCACTATTTAATTAGATTTTGTAGTATTTGATTAAAATTAGAGTAAATTTCAATTTTGGTCTAGTGACTATTAGAGTCTTGTTAATTGTAATCCACGACTTTTAAAACTGTTAATTTAGTACCTTAGCTATTTAATTTTTATCAATTTTAGTCACTTTGACCAAATTGACAGCCAAATCTCACCGGAAAATTTTAATATGTAAAATAATGAGGATATTTTAGTCATTTTACATCTCTTTTTCCTTCTTCTTCGATGAGCTACCATGTTTCCGGCCGGCTAAATCTTTTCTTTTCTTTCTTCGTTCAGACTCTGTTCCCATTTTCCTTGCTCTCCTCTTTGTCAATGGTGTCACAGAGTTCTCTGCCCAATGTCTCCGGCAAAGAAACCAGAAACAAGCAGCACAAAACTTGTTGGCTATTCCCAGCGCCACTAGCAATGGGCTAATGGCGCCGCCCACCAGGGTTTGCCTCGCCATTGACACCGCGGAGTTCCTCACGCACGTCGGAAGGAGGCATGGACTTGGGACACGCCGGCGCACACCTCCGTGGTTTTCGAGGGGTCCCTGGAGTGCGCCCGGGCGATCATCACCGGCTGCCTGGTTGGCGGACTTGTGCTCTCCACGTTCGTCGACTACTCCATTGGCCGGAAGAAAATGCTGACCTTCTCGTGTTTCCTCATGAACGTGGTCGCCGTCCTCACCGCGTCCGCCCCCAACATGTGGGTCTACTCATCCTCACCGCTACTTTGCTTGAGATTGAGAAGAAAGAAAAGAAACTGTGACACCATTGACGAAGAGGAGAGCAAGGAAAATGTGAACAGAGTCTGAACGAAGAAAGAAAAGAAAAGATTTGACTGGAAACATGGTAGCTTGTTGGAGAAGAAAGAAAAGAGATGTAAAATGGTTAAAATACCCTTATTATTTTACATATTAAAATTTTCCGGTAATATTTGACCGGAGTGTTCAAAATTGATAAAAATTGAATAGTTAAGGTCCTAAATTAACAGTTTTAAAAATCGTGGATTGCAATTAACAAGACACAATAGTCACTGAACCAAAATTGAAATTCACTCTTAAAATTATATACGGTGAATCAAGTTGGTCACTGTTCATATGTGTTTTCATTTCTCGGAGAGAATTGTGTTTTTAAAGTTTCCAAAAACAAAGAAAAATGAAGGAATGGAGACACCTACAAATTTGAAGGATTGAATTTAATGAACAATTTTTAATTATTTTTAAATTTTCTAATTCTCTATTTTTTCTGAAAATTTTTTCATTACTAATTTATTATTATTATTTGGTGTAAACTAATTTATTATTTTTAATACCTCGCCACGTTTTCCCCAATTTAAGGGCTCCTTTCACACCTTTTCCTATTTTGAAAGTTGGCAAAGTGTATTATTATTATTATTATTATTATTATTATTATTTTTTTTTTTTTTTTTTTTTTTGAAAACGAAAGTTGGCAAAGTTAGAAAGAAAGCTGAGAATAGAAGCAAAAATGATTTGTTTATAAACAGCACAGCAGTGAGAAGTGAGAAGAGAGAAGAGAACAGTGACAGATACAATTCACCTATTAACACTGGACAGTTGATACACACACTGTAACCGCCTCTTCTCTTCTCTCTCTCTCTCTCTCTCTCTCTCTCTTCCGTATTTCATTTCGCCATTATCTTTTCTACTCCTGGAAACATCCCTCCCAGCGCCGCTCTCTCTCTCTCTCTTGCAGCATGCTCAGCAGCGGAGCGGCATTTTGATTTGGATGAGCAACCCGACAACCCCTCCCGGAGTTTCTTGGTTCTCGGTTTTCGAGATAGAGCAAGAATGGCGAAACGCTGGATCATTCTCCGCCTCCTGTCCGCGGCGGTGGCAGTGCTGGTTGCCGCAGCTCCGGCCGAGTCGGCGATCGGTGTGAACTGGGGTACCATCACCCGGCACAAGCTGCCGCCGCCTAACGTGGTGGATCTCCTCAAGGACAACCAGATACGGAAGGTGAAACTGTTCGATGCCGATCCGGGTGTGCTCAGGGCGCTCATGGGCAGTGGGATTGAGGTCATGGTCGGAATTCCCAACGAGATGCTCGCCCTCATTTCCTCTTCTTCATCCGCTGCGGATTCCTGGGTTTCCCAGAATCTCACCAGATACATGGTTAGAGGTGGTGTTAATATCAAGTAAGTCCCTTTCTTTCTCCCATCACCTGTTTGATGTGTAGCTTCTGAGACTGACATTCTTAGTTATTTATATACCTAACTCCATTTAATGCTTAGTAAGTTGAGTTGAGTGTCCAAATTCGGAATGCCCATATTAAAATGCTTCTGCCCAACTATTATGCTCAGAGAGCTTACCTGAAAATATGTAAACTTTGAGTTGTATTTTATGGAATAACCCCATCCCTCTGTTCAAGGTACTAAAATGTGGGTAACGATATAGGATTGAGTCCTAATGGGTCACTGAGTTATCCTGATTTACTCTTCCATTATCCTGTTGGGTCAGGATGTGGGTCTGGGGTTAGAGAATTTTGCCTTTTGTGTGGGCAAGGTTCTCAAATGATGAATTTCCCAAATCTACAAAGATCATATAAAGAAAAAGGGAAGCACTTTCTCGTGATTTACAGGATAGCCTTGATCTTAACGTTGTTATCCGTGTCCCTTGATGATAAGTATGGAGTATTATTCCATTCCCTATTTCTGGAGTGGTTTTTATTGGTGAAGGTATTTCTTGTTTTGATATTGGTGGTAAAATATTACCAGCCGAAAGGAATATTTTTCTGCAGTTTGATGTGCTGGAGTATTAGATTGAGTCAATTTGGATAATATGGCAGTGGAAAACATCAAGATAATTAAAATATGGTTATTAAAACTCTTAATAATATCTAGATTCTGGATGTGGATGCCACCTCGAGGAGAAAAGATTGTGAAATGGAGACACTTACAAGTTCAATTATTCTGTATAAAAGCATTAAAGTTGCCTTTAGAATAAAGTAACAGAACAGAAAATTTAGGATACTTTTGATTTCTTAGGTGAGGATAAGAAACCAGTGCATTGCATCAACCTTTTAATGTCTTGACGTGTAAATGCTGTAACAGAATTCATTGACCATATCTAGGTTAGGTATTACCATCAACTTGGCTTCTCATATCAGTGAGTGGTAATAAAATGTTGTATAGATTTGTACTGCGTGTCATGATGTTTTTATTCACGTCACTTGCTGAAGGCTTCATAATGCTATCATGCTGTATAAAGACACAAAAATCATTATCATATGTCTTACTTTTCCCATTCCACTTATTTTCAGTATTCTGTAGTAGCAATTAACTACTTTTTGACCCTTGTTTTGAGTTTGGGATTACAAGTCTGTTCCAATAGAAATGAATTGAGGTGAGAACCATCTAGTGTCAGTGTGTCACCAAGCATTTTCTGTGCTGGCATCTTCTTTTAGAATCCCACATGATATTTTACCGTGTTACCTACTTGCATCAAATGCAAACACTGCTTATGCAATATCAATTTTCAGCTTAAGGTATAGTGTAAGTGTTTCGCAAATGAATTTTTATGTGTTTGATTGTAGCGGTTGTAAGAACAGGTGAACGTTGAGCAACAAGAAGATGTTTGGTTTCCTTCCCTTTGCTCCTTTCTCCTGACCATAACTTTTTCTTTTTCCATTTGGCACTGACAAGGTGACAATTAAAATGTGATAACAGGTATGTTGCAGTTGGGAATGAACCTTTCCTTACAAGTTACTCTGGTCAATACCAATCCTATGTTCTCCCTGCTCTCACAAATTTACAACAGTCTTTGTCCAGAGCAAATCTTGTGGGGGCTGTAAAGCTGGTTGTCCCTTGCAATGCTGATGCATATGAGTCTGCCGCCCTGCCATCACAAGGGACCTTCCGATCAGATCTGACCCAAATAATGAATCAGCTTGTTTCATTCCTGAACTCTAATGGTTCACCATTCGTTGTTAATATATACCCATTCCTCAGCCTCTATGGAAATTCAGACTTCCCTGAAGACTATGCATTTTTTGATGGGACAGCACATCCAGTGGTGGATGGCCCAAATGTCTATTATAATGCATTTGATGGAAACTTTGACACTTTAGTTTCAGCTCTCTCCAAAATTGGGTATGGTCAGATGCCCATAGTTATTGGAGAGGTGGGTTGGCCTACAGACGGAGCTATTAGTGCCAACCTAACTGCTGCAAAAGCTTTCAACCAAGGTCTAGCATATCATGTGCTTGGCAACAAAGGAACCCCTTTGAGGCCAGGGGTTCCTCCTATGGATGTTTATCTTTTTAGTCTCCTTGATGAAGATGGAAAGAGCGTTCTTCCTGGCAATTTTGAGAGACACTGGGGCATATTCTCTTTTGATGGCCAAGCAAAGTATCAATTGAACCTTGGCAATGGTCAGTTGAAGAATGCCAAAGATGTCCAGTATCTTCCATTTAGGTGGTGCATCGCAAAACCAGATAGAGATCCTTCAGCTGTGGCTAACCACTTCAGAATTGCATGTAGCTTTGCCGATTGCACTACCCTGAACTATGGTGGATCGTGTAACGGGATTGGAGCAAAGGGAAACATGTCATATGCATTTAACAGTTATTATCAGTTGCAAAAGCAGAATCCACAAACCTGTGATTTTGATGGCCTCGGGATGGTCACTTTCCTGGATCCTTCAATTGGTGAATGCCGATTTCTTGTTGGGGTTGAAGATGGCAAATCTTCAGGATTTAGCTTGCAAACCTGGTGGATTATAACAGTACTGATAATTGTTGGGGGTTTCTGGTTATCTTTTACTATATGATTAGGGGTTTCTCTAGTGGGGTTTTCAGAGTTCCCTCTTTAGAAATGTGCTATAGACTAAAATATGAAAGATACTGCACAGAATAGTATATAAGATTAGAAGCCATTCCAGAGATGTAGCTAGGTCTATTTGTACACGTTCAGTGCGTGGCATTTGTGTGGTTATGTATTGTATGAACTAGATGATTTTTTTTTTATTTTTTTTTTTCAGAATATGAACTAGATGATTATTTATGATATAATGAACACAAACTAGATTCTAGTATCTGAAGTCTTCTTTGTAGAATCTGAGCTAAATTTGCAGAATTTCTCTGACACATAATGGAAGTTTGATTTGGATTCAAGATTTTGGTGGTCAGAGAAGTCTTATCCTGGTGGTAATATGCATTCCGCAAGTTGGGCAGCAGGTGAGGTCTCTCCCGCAATCATAGCATGTCTGAAAATCAGTAGAGTTCAGTTACTGCTAAGATTACAGGAAGAAGAAGCTGACAGAGTTTATCTTCCTTACCTGATGTCCACAACCCAGTGCGAGGTCTTTTTTCCGGCATGAACAAACTGGACAGCAGCACTGTATAGCATTTGACCTTGTTTCTGCAGAACCGGGTAATTGTTTATTACCATTGTTTTCCAGGCTTCTTGACTTGAAGAAGTAATCTGGGTAGCTCATAGGTCTCCCAAGTTTGGGTGGCAAAGGCTTCTTTCCCAGATTCCCTCTTCGGTTCCTGCCAAAAAAAAGTAAAATTTGCAGAAATATTGTGAGTTTATTAAGACATCTGAACATTGTTTTTCAGAATCAGACATTCAGAATATTGAAAGATGATTACCCCAAGAGTCCAAGGCTTAATGTTGCCTGGTACTGCTGAGGTATCTCCATAAGCGCAGCGAGAGCAAACTCGGCTTCTTTCTGGGTTTGTGGAACATTCTTCGACATAATCTCTGTGAAGTTCACAAACTGCAGGCAACAACACATAACAAGTTTTATTGATTCTGAATTCTCAAGCCAAGCCATCCACCAGAAGTACAGATAGATCCTTGTTGTTAAGAAAATGAGACCTGAAAGTTATCAAAACTCCGAGCAGGAATGCTGTCATCAAACTTCCTCATCATATCCCATGGTCCATCACCAACTCCAACCAAAACTATTGACAGAGGATAGCCACTACACATACATACATACATACAAACAAGAAAAAAAAAAAACAAATTACGTGATGCCTTCCTTTTATAGAAAGAAAGAAACACCATCTAACCTTGCTTTGACAATGGCATCAATTGTGTTCTGTTCTTGAGGACTTGGATGATATGAATCCATGCCTTCATTTTGCGTCACCTTCAAAACCATGTTAAGTGGTTCTCTGTTAGCGTGGTGGAGTATGTTGGATTTACTATCCGTTCTGTTTGGTACACTAGAATTGTGGACATGAGAGTGGAATGAACTAATGCATCAAAAGTTCCTATGTAGCAAATGGAGGCTTACCCTCAAAAAACCGGAAGGGAAATGAAAATGATCAGGAAGACTTATAACTCACTCACCTGCCCATCTGCAATTATCAGCAAAACATGATACTGACCACCACTGTCATCAACAATTCCAATAGCAGTTTCAATTATTGGGGCAAAGGATGTCGGTCCTGTGGAAGAAGAAACAAAACAATCATAAGTTTTTTGCCTTGGTAGAAGAGGCTAAAAGCCAGAATGAAGAAAATTTGAAGAATCATGAGACTCCACCCCACCTGATAAATGGATGTGTGGAACTATTTCTCTGTAACGAGTCAAAGCCTCCTCGAAGCCATTGCAGGGCCTGTTGTTTGGATAAAAGCTGAACACATCCTGATCATGTGTAGTTACTTCAAGAGGGAAAGCAAAAGTAAGAATCATTAAAAGCATCATCATCATCAGCAGCAGCAGCAGTGTCATGTGACATGAAAAACCAGAACTTTTTACATAAAAGTTGTGATTTGTGCATACCATCTCCAAATCCAAAACATGGAATAAGGTTATCCTCATCAAAAACTGCGAGTGTCCTTCCTATGATTGATATTGCGTGTTCATAAGGGTTCAAGTCGTTGCCAAGGTGATGCAGGCTCCTCCTGTTGAAACATCTTGCTCCTGTCCACTCATTGCTCTTTGTGAAGTCTATCCCCACTATCAGATTGGATGATTCCAGACCAGCTTCGCGTAGAGTCTCTACCACCTAAAAGGTATGCTTGAATTTAATTCAGCAAAGGAGGATTCAAGAACCAGCCTTTAGATTATAACTAGGTAAGGTTTATCATTTTATCCTGCAGTTCTCATAAACTGAATCAAGAATCAGTCTCCATGAAACTAACTAAGATCTTCTACTTACCAATTTTTAAGCCAGGGCTGTGTATAAAGGAGCATCTTCAATATCAAAACTAAGATCATATTTAAGGTTTCGAGGTAATGTAGTTCTGCTGGGTGTTTTTGTGTACACTAAAAAAAAAAAAAAAAAACACAAAGAAACAACCTAGTTGAGTTTTATTTAGTAAGATTAAGAAAAAGGAGCTGGTTGATGGTAGTTTTATTTAACAGAATTGATTGATGTTACCTGATCAAGAGAAGTAAAATTGTCACCAATTGTTTGGTACATCTGCTGTTCATTTCTGGCATGGTAAGATGAAGAAGTGAAAGTTGGTTGACAGCCACTGGGACTGCTATAGCTATAGTAGTAACTCTGGTCTGTGCTTTGCTGCCCTCCCATTTCAATCCTCCCTCCACTGTTAGTTTTCTCCCAATTTTCAGAAAATCTTCTGTCCTGTCCTGTCCTGTCTGCAGAAACTATTGGGAGACATGATCATTTATTTTCATTACATTGTATTCTTTTTGTCAGGATATGATGCTAAAAAAGCTCTAGTCTTAGATTTTTCATTACAAAATTTCACCAAACTTGGTAAATTCAAACATGTTTATCCTACTATAATAAAAGAAAGTATTCGGCAGTAAGACAAATGTTGATTACCTGATAGATAGCAAAGAGGAAAAAAAGGGAAGTTGACTTGAGTATGGGAAGAAGGTGAAATTTTCAAGGTTTCTTATGTGCTAAGTAAGGTACTTGGCAAGTAAGTCATGGTCTGTCTGAAACAGAGTTGATTAAGGAAATGGTGGATAGTGGATTGCCTTTCCTAGGATATGTGTTCCCGACAGCGACACCCTACCTACCTACTCAGCCGTGTGAGGAATCTGCCTGCACACACGTCACACGGACACGGTTTCACAAAAATGTTTAGAAATTGTATTGTCAGCTCGCAGAAACTCCCCTGTAAATAGGAATGCGTAATTTGGATTATTTGAACTAACACTTAAGATTCGAATCGAATTTTGAATTTTAGGTGAATTTGAATAAGTATCGGTTCAAATATTTTTAATTATGATATATCTGAATATAAATTCAGTTCAGATATCGGGTGTTAAAATTATATCCTTACTCATTCAAACTAATCTGCAGTTTTATTATAAATATAAACATATAAATTATATACTAAGTAGAGAAAATCGCACTTTTTGTCCGACAATTATTCCTAGATATGCAATGTAATCTCTGATTGTTAATTTTAAAAAATTGAGTCCTTCAATTATTCCAACTATAGACAATGTAGTTATGCCGTTAGATTTCTCATTAACTAGCGTTAAAACCATGGATATTTTTGTAATTTCGCAACTCACTCAAATTTTACCTCCAAATTTTCCTCCCTCATTTGCCATTCACCTGCGCATAATTTACCCCCAATTTCCTCTCTCTTCTGCCATTTACATAAGTCATTAACCCTAACTATTCTAGTAACCTGATGACATAGCCATTGCTCGTACTGGTGCGAAGAGGATGTAGACGCTATTACAAAGCAATGACTAGTAAGATGATTAGTGGGTTCAATACAACTCCTACATGTAAGTATCCGAACTTCAACCATGTTTGCCTATCAAAAGTATATTTTTGTCTTGCTTTTGTTGTCTATAGTGATGCTAGCATGTGCACTTTGTTGGGTTATGTTGTTATTGCTTAGTGGGGACCATTTGTAGTTGAACATCAGTGCATTTTATGAGGAATCCTCTGTGTTTGCCGGTTCACTTTTTCATTGCTTAGTGGAGACCATTGGTAGTGAGTGTACGGAGTTTGTAATTATTTTACTGTGAATGGAAGCTTTTCTCTTTCTGTAAAATAACACTTAAATTACTGCATTGCATTTTATAGATGTTGGTGAGGAATCCTCTATGTTTATAATAAAATTGCATATTGATGGGAATTTTGTATGCCAACCAACATTTGATTATAGGGACTGTGGAGAATTTTTATCATTTTAATTGTAATGAGGGCAGTATACTGGATTTAAGGTTTTGTGACAAAAATGTGCAATTTTAGGTTAAGGGTAGAAAAACTCAAGTAAGGAAACTAAACACTGATGTAGACATTCTAAGTCTAATTTCAGAGGTTCTAACAAATAATGAGTTGGATATATATGTTGAACATTTATATGATGATCCATAAATGTGATTACGAAGTAGAGATATCTAAGTCTTTCGGAGATGATGCGCTATTGTATAATGACATAAATCAGACAAGTGAAGAAGATGATTATGACTGTACTGGAGATCATAGCCAAAATGTATGTGTGGAAATATTAGAATTGATATGTGAAAATATAAGATTGATATGCGAAAATATAAGATTGATATGCATATATTCTTAGAATATGTAATTAGTGATATTGATTTTATTCTTTCCTAGTTTAGAGTTTAGCGATCATTTTATTTACTTTCCCTGATTATAGGATTCTCTTCCCTATAATCAATCTTCTTCTTTGTATAAATTGGGGCTTGTATTTTTCAATTGAGAAGTAGAACTATTCAGAATTTCTTACATGGTATCAGAGCCTGACTTTAAACCCCTAGTTCTTCTCTATCCTCCCTCACCAAATCTCTCCAGCAACTATGTCTAAACCTATTGAAACACTTCCAATTGATTCCTCACCTTTAGATGGTTCATCACATCCTTCTCACCCGACTGTCTCAAATCATCCTAACCTTCCTCAAGTCCTTGACAGTTCTCCTCTCCCAATCACCTCTCATAAGCTCAACGGCCACAACTATCTTCAGTAGTCCCAGTCAGTTCTCATGTATGTCTCTGGCAGAGGGAAAGACGAATACCTCACTGGTGAAATCGTGAAGCTTAAGGAAACTGATGCTAGCTATCGCTAATGGAAATCTGAAAACCATATGGTAATGTCTTTGTTAATCAGCTCCATGCTTTCTGATATTGGAGAAAATTCTCTCCTCTATCGTATAGCCAAAGAAATTTGGGATGGAGCCCGTGACACATATTCTAGTTCTAAAAACACATCAGAACTGTTTGAAACTGAAACCAAGCTATTTGAGTTAAAGCAAGGGGACTCCAACGTCACACAATATTACAACACCATAACAAGGTACTAGCAACACCTTGATATGTTTGAAGTATACTCTTGGAAGTGTCCTGATAATTCTGCACTTTACAAAAATATTGTTGAGCAAAAGAGAACCTTCAGATTTTTATTAGGTTTAAACAAGGACCTAGATCAGGTCAGGGGGAGAATCATGAGTGTCCGACCTTTTCCTCCCATTCGTGAAATTTTTGCTAAAGTTAGAAGGGAGGAAAACCGACAAAAATTGATGATGGCCGACACAACTTCACACTCAGAAATTTATGCAATGCTCACTCATACTTCCTCTCAAGATAGCAGGCCTCAAAAAGGGGGTACACCATGGTGTGAGCACTGCAAAAAGGCTGGACATTATCGTGAGATTTGCTGGAAAATTCACGGTAAGCCTGCTGATTGGAAACCCAAATCCCGTACTGATCAAGCTCGTGCTAATGTTGCTGCAACCTCTGAAACATCACCCAATGAAGTCAGTCCTTTCTCAAAAATTCAGCTTGAGGCGCTGCAAAAGCTTTTTGGGCAGATATCTGTTGCACAATAGTCAATCCCACCTTCCGCTGAAGCACATGTTAGTATGATGAGTCATTAAGGTACCACTTCTCACGCATTTGCTGCAAATTCCAATAACACAAGTCCTTGGATTGTAGATTCCGGGGCATCCGACCATATGTCAGGTGATTTAAAGGTTTTCCATACATTCAAACCTTGTACCAATCCCACCACGATCAGAATTGCTGATGGATCCCTCTCTAACGTGATAGGAACCTGATCTGTCAAATTAACTAATATACTTTTTCTTTCATCTGTTCTCTTTGTTCCTAAATTAAGTTGCAACCTTCTTTCCATCAGTAAACTCACTAGAGACATGAATTGTGTAACTAAATTCTATCTTAAGCTTTGTGAATTTCAGGTTGTGGGCTCGGAGAAGGTGATTGGCAGTGTTGAAATTTGCGGTGGTCTCTACATTCTCAAAAACACTCCTGAAAATAAACATTTCCCCAAGTCAAATTATGGTTTCAATTCTGGAATGATAGTCTAGTCATGTTGTGGCATTTTCGCCTTGGACATCCAAATTTTGTTTATCTTGAAAAACTGTTTCCTGATTTATTTATCAATAAAAAACTCAAGTTTTTTCATTGCGAAGTGTGTCAAGTTGCAAAACATACTCGAGGCATTTATTCAAGCAATCCTTACAAATCTTCTCAACCTTTTTCGTTGATACATAGTGATATTTGGGGGCCCTTGGGTGAAAAATGTTAATGGTTCTAGATGGTTTGTATCCTTCATTGATGACCACACTAGGACCACATGGACTTTCCTCATGAAAGAAAAATCAGAAACTGCATCAATTTTTAAAGCTTTTCATTCCATGATTCAAAATCAGTTCAAAACAAAAAGTTACAGTTTTGAAAATGTATAATGGGACAGAATACTACAACTCAATTCTTGGTCCATACTTGTTAGATCAGGGAATTATCCATATTAGTTCCTCTGTCAACACCCCTCAGCAAAATGGAGTGGCTGAGAGAAAAAAATAAGCACATCCTTGAAGTCTCTTGGTCCATCATGTTTTCAAATCATGTGCCTAAACACTTTTGGGGGGAAGCTGTACTTACTGCCACTTACCTGATAAACCGTATGCCTAGTAGTGTCTTAGAGTTCAAGACACCACAATCTTTGTTACTACAAGCATTCCCTCAATTCTCTATTTTTTCCTCAGAATTGTCACTCAAAATTTTTGGTTGTACTGCTTTTGTCCATATCTATGATCACAAAAGAACAAAACTTGACCCAAAATCACACAGATGCATCTTCATTGGGTATTCTAATACTCAAAAGGGGTACAAATGTTATTCTTCAGTCACAAAAAGAGTTTATCATACTTTGGGTGTCACATTTTTTGAACACCAATCATTCTTTCCCAAATCTGGTATTCAGGGGGAGCATTTGAGCGAATATCAACTTTGGGAAACACTTCAAGATAATTAGGCTACATTTCCTTCACCTAATGTCCTACCATACCAGCATCAACCTACTCCAACTCAACATGATTTATCACCTACATCATCTAGTTCTCTATTACCTCTTTCATCAAATGTGACTCTAGAAAACATGGTCAATCACCTGTCATCCTCTCTTCCTACAATCAACCCATCTTCACCACTAACAAACAACCATCCATCCTCAGAAAACACTGCACCAAATTCACCTCCTCAAGCACCACTTGAAGAAAGAAACAAAGAACTCCGTATTTATAGAAGGAGAACATTTCAAAATATAGAGGCTAACATGCAAAGCCAGGACTGTTCAAACACACATTTGAGCTTACTTGACCTTGAAAATCATGAAGGTAAGGACTCTATGACCCATGAGTTGGTACCTACTGCTATTGATGATCTTGATTTGCCTATTGCTCATCGAAAGGGTGTTGGAACATGCACTAGTCACCCAATAGAAAGGTATGTTGCTTATGGGAAATTAACTCCTATGTATCGAGCCTTTGTTGTCTCTCTTGATCTTGTCCAGATTCCCACAAGCATCTACGAGGCACTAAGAGATCCCAAATGGAAGGTTGCTGTCAATGAGGAAATAAATGCTTTTGAGAAGAATGGTACATGGCATCTTGTTGAGTTATCTCAAGGAAAACATGCAGTTGGATGTAAGTGGATTTTCACTGTCAAGTATAATTCAGATGGGAGTATCAACAGATTCAAGGCTCTGCTGGTTGCCAAGGGGTCCACTCAATCATATAGTGTTGACTATTAAGAGGCCTTTGCTCCTGTTGCCAAACTCAATACAGTAAGAGTTCTATTATCACTTGCTGTGAATTGTGATTGGCCTTTATATTAATTGGATGTAAAAAATGCATTCTTAAATGGAGAATTGGAAGAAGAAGTTTATATGAAAATTCCACCAGGTTTGAAAAAGAACTCCAATGGATGACTGGTATGCAAACTACAAAAATCTCTCTATGGCTTGAAACAATCACCTCGGGCATGGTTTGATAGGTTTGCAAAGTCAATTGTAAAATTTGGATACACTCAGTGTCAAGCTAATCATACCCTGTTTGTTAAAATCTCTTCAACAGGAAAGTTAGCAATTCTCATTGTCTATGTGGATGACGTAATATATCCTAACTGGAGATTATTCAGGTGAGATTTCAAACCTCAAGAGGTTTCTTACATCAGAATTTAAGATCAAAGATCTAAGATTCCTCAAATACTTTCTTGGGATGGAGGTAGCTCGATCTAAGGAAGGGATTGTTATATCTCAACGAAAGTACATCCTAGATCTTCTAAACGAAATTGGAATGCTTGGAAGTAAGCTAGCATATACTCCAATGGACCCTAACTTAAAAACAAATCGGAGTGGGGAACCAATTCCAGTAGAGAGGGGGAGCTATCAAAGATTAGTGGGAAAACTAATTTATCTCTCCCACACCAGACCTGATATTGCTTTCTCTGTTAGTGTTGTAAGTCAACATATGCATAACCCTAATGAGGAGCATTTGGAAGTTGTTTATCGTATTCTAAGGTATCTCAAAATGACACCAGGTCTTGGTTTGCACTTCAGAAAACATGACAACCGAGACCTAGAAGTCTACACGGATTCTAGTTAGGCTGGAGAGTTGACTGATAGACGATCGATTAGTGGTTACTATGCCAATGTATGGGGAAATCTAGTCACTTGGCGCAGCAAAAATAGTCATTTGTCTCTTGGAGTAGTGCAAAATCAGAATACCGTGCACTGGCATTATGTATATGTGAGGGGATGTGGATTAAAAAGTTGTTGAATGAGTTGAAAATTGAAGCTCCTACATCTTTCAAAATGTACAATGATAGTCAAGTTGTCATCAACATTGCAAAGAACCCGGTTCATCACGATAGAACAAAGCACGTTGAAATAGACAAGCACTTCATTTATGAGAAGGTGAATTCGAGGATCATTGAACTCAACTACATTCCTACAAAGAAACAGATTGCCGACATCCTTACGAAGGCTCTACCTAGAACAAGCTTTGAAGAATTCAATTCCAAGATGGGCTTGTATAATATATACAATTTAGCTTGAGGGGGAGTGTGGAAATATTAGAATTGATATGTGAAAATATTAAATTGATATGCATATATTCTTAGAATATGTAATTAGTGATATTGATTTTATTCTTTCCTAGTTTAGTGATCCTTTTATTTACTTTCCCTGATTATAGGTGAACAATGATGTTGCGGTAGAAGTTGATTGTCTACAGTCTAAAGAACTGTTTAGGAGTTCGGAGAATTCAGATTCTGAGGGGGAAGTTAATGGTCTAGAGAATGTGTTCCAAGAAAGAAACCTGAAAAAAAGATGGGTTTAAGTTTGTTATAGGAATGATTTTAAAATCTGCATCTGAGTTTAAGTGGGTTGTAAAGTATCATGAGGCAATGAGAAGAAAAAGTGTGAAATTTACAAATTAAAGAATGAGGGCAGAAGAGTAAGGGTATTTGTAGACACATTGACATTTGCAAATGGACTATTTTTGCATCAAGAAGCAATTCTAGATGTCCATTTCAAATTAAGACATACAACTCATAACATATATGTGGAGACCAGGATGAAAATTAAACAAAACTGTGAGCTCATGTTTTCTTGCTAAATTGTATAAAGATGAATTTAAGCTCAATATGAAATGGGTTCAAGAGCATGTGAAATAAAAGTTGCATTGTCAAGTTACCAAATATCAAGCTTATAGGGCTAAACAGAAGGTTATAAATCAATTGGAAGGTCAATATTGTGAACAATTCATGTTATTGAATGATTACTCTAAGGAATTAAAGAGAAGCAATCCTGGAACTACTGTTAAGATGAAGCTTGATAGTGAATTTAGTGTTAATGGCAAATCTAGGTTTCTTAGATTATATATTTGCTTTGGAGCTTGCAAAGAAGGGTTTCTGAGAGGTTGTAGACCTTTTTTTTTATTTTTTGGGTGGGGTGGGGCGGGGCGGGGGAGGGGGTGGGGGGTTTAGATGGTTCATCTAAAGGGTTGTCAGAAGGGAGGCCAAGTATTAAGTGTTATAGGTGTTGATGGAGATAACAACATGTTTCCAATAGCCTTTGTTATTGTGGAGGGGGAATTGAAGGACAATTGGACATGGTTTTTAGAACAGTTGGACAATGATTTAAATATATCAAGTAATCCTCATGCTTGGACACTAATTTCAAATAAACAAAAAGGATTGATACCTGCTGTTGAAGAATTGTTTTCTAGGTTGCAACATAAATTTTGTGTAAGACATATGCATGGTAACTTTCTAAATGATGGTTTTACTGAAAATGTTATGAAGTAGAAATTGTGGGGTGTGTAAATCAACTTAACAATAGAGAAAAAATGAAGACACATCTAGTTAAGATTTATCCCAAAGACACATCTAGGTATAATACTTATAAGTCCCATGAAAATATATACCAAGTTGATGATGAGAACTTCAAAGCCTCTCAATAGCACTCCTTGCAGTCATGCCGTAGCAGTGGAATATTATTTGAGAGCATATGAACCTACAATACTTCTTATTCAATCTTTTGTGTTATCAGTTACGGCAAAACAGGTCTTCCAGCACCACTCCAGAAAATGTGCAGAGTATGTGGACTACAAGGGCATAATAAAACAACATGCAAGGCGAAAATCCATAGGTAATCACTTTGTACATTTAATGCTATTATTTGAGTCTTATATCTAAATTTGGCAGTCTTTCTCATAAAATGCAATGCAATGACAATTATCTTTTCTGGTCATTTGGCAGAGCTTTTTCTAGTCATTTGGCAGAGTTTTTTTGGTCATTTGACAGAGCTTTTTTTGGTGATTTGGTCTTCTTTTTTTTTTTTTTTTTTTTTTTTTTTTTTTTTTTTTTTTTTGTGGTCATTTTCAAACATTTCAAAGCATTCACTACAAATTGCAATATCCAATTCAACTAAACAAAGTTTACACTTGGTTCACCAGTTTTAATCCAATACTAATAGACACTATTAGTAAGCTACAAATCCTAGTTCAGTTGGAATAACTTTTTACTTGGTTCACCAATTTTCATTCAAAGTCTGAAGCAAAGAAAAGCAATGGCAATTCCAAATCCAAACCCATAAAAAATAGAAAATTGGACTCCAAATTCTTCTTAATGTCACCATTTTGTTTATCAATAACTTCTTGCAACCTTTGCATTTCACTCTATCTAACCCCTTTAATAGACCTCTAAACATTTTGGAGACACTCTAAGAGACATCAGAGTCCAACCATTGAAAATGCCAACAGTTCCCATTCCCCTGACATTCAAATGTAATTAACAAAGAAAGATTAAGTGTTACGTTGTCAACTCTAATAACAGTAAAGTAAAATGGTTTAAGTTGTGTACACTTACTCCATAACGTGAGCATGCTCTATGTCTCTTTCCGGGGTTGGCATAACTCCAGGACATCCTTACTGGAGCCACTTTGTCGCACCAACATCGCACTTCTGGAATCCATTCTACTGAACCACTATTGTTTGAAGACATGATCGTGCAATCACATCTGCGTCCTCTTCGCACCAATTCGAGCAACGGCTATTTCGTAAGGTTACTGGATTTGTTAGGGTTAATGGCGTAGGTAATAGGCAGAGGAGAGAGGAAATTGAGGGTGAATTATGCGTAGGTGAATGATGGAGGAGGGAGGAAATTTGAGGTAAAGTATTTGTGGGTTGCGAAATAACAAAAATATCCATGGTTTTAACGCTAGTTAATGAGAAATCTAATCGCAAGACTACATTGTCTAAAGTTGGAACAATTGAGGGACCCAATTTCTTAAAATTGATAACCAGGAACTACATTGCATATCTAAAAATAATTGAGGGACCAAAAGTGTGATTTTCCCTATTGACTATTAAATGTATTTCATTATTAATATTTTATTAATTTTTAAAAACTTTTTTTAGTACAATTTTCAAAACTTAATTATTAGTATTGTCTTATTTTTAGTTTGATAGTATACGAAATACTCTAAAAACACCAATAATAAAATTATTTAAAAACTCAAAATTGATAAAATTAAAATTTTGTGTATACCCAAACTAACCCGAAATAAATACCCGAACTGAACATAACCGAATTAAATTTAATTTGAATAACGGAGGTTAAAAATATCACCAGAATTTTTCAGTACCTGAAATAAAATTCGTATATCACCCTAACTGAACCCGACACCCACCCCTACCTCGTAAACGTCCCACTAATTCAGAATTAGGACTAGAATTTTTTTATCCCTTCAAATTGAAAGTGGTCGTTTTTAGTTAATTTAATTTTGACTTGCCTCAAACCATAAACGGCATGCCAAGTCATAAGGCAATTTTGTTGTTTGCCTAACGTTGATTGACTTAAATCGCTTAAACTTGAGATTTGAGTTAATGTAGTATGTAACACGTGAATGCAATGTGTACTACGATTAATAGTTTTACAACCCCATTGGAAGACTAGCCTAGGGTTGGGAATTAGGAAGTTGATGCCATCACCTAAAGCACTTTCTTTTTGGAATTTTCTTTTAAGCATATAACCCTATGGTAGTGATGGTTGGTGAGTTGGTCTTATTACCCCTCCAAGTAAGGGTAGATTCGGAAATTTTTTTTAATAAGGGAAATATAAAAGATAGAGTTTGAAAAAAAAAAAAAAACACACACACACACACTTAAAAGCATAGTCATAAATATTGTTAGATATAAGTATAAAAAAAAAATTAAAATACATCAAAATTTTATAAATAAATAAATAAACAAACCTGGAGAACTGAGCTCAAGTTCTTAGCTTCCTCTTCGCCATGGCCTTTTCCTTCCCATATTCCCTACACAATCTGTCTTGCTTGGAATCAAATCTAACAGCTCAATGCATTTCTCATTGTTCCCCAAATATCCTCCATCGCCTTTACACTCAAGAAGATTTACACACCAAAACTAAGCAAAAACAAATTAAAAGTAAAGGCATCATCTTTAGGACGAAGAACATTCAAGGTGCATGTTGATGGGTTTGAACATATATATATACACACACATGATATTATTTCGGATATTCGGACGGATCGGGTGAAAAATATACAAACCCTACCCAATTTTTAAATATCTAAAACAAGTTTTGATCGAATCGGTTTTTCTTCTTCGGATTTGGATATCCAACTTGAGCAAATGATCGAGTTTCGGATTGATTTGGTTAATCAGATTGGACGGGTATTGCACATGCCTAATTGAATCTTAGACCTTTCTTAAATTAAAACCATAACTTGCCATTGCACCTAACTCTATATATGGGGGTGGGGGGAGGGAGGGAGGAGCTACCTCTTAAATTAAAACCATAACTTGCCATTGCACCTAACTCCATATATGGGGGTGGGGGGAGGGAGGGAGGAGCTACCTCTTAAATTAAAACCATAACTTGCCATTGCACCTAACTCCATATATGGGGGGTGAGGGGAGGGAGGAGCTAGCTCCACCTCGGCCTCCAAGTGCCTTTACTCTGTTACAATGTAGTATCTGTTACCGCCTCCACTGAGGTTCGAACCCACAATCTCTCATATGAAAAATAATTTGATGCCACTTGAACACAAGGTCATTGGCTTTTTAGACTTTCTATTTAATTGTATTGAAATGCCGAATTCTTTTGACTTTTTTTTTTGGTTAGTAATAATCACTTAAGTAACAAGAAGTTGAATCCATCTTCACCTTCAAAAAGCCTAATAAGTTTTTATCTCTTATATTTAACTTTTAATTTTGGCATATTTTGTTCATTTTCTACTTTCAAAAATGTTCAACTCTGTATATTTCATCAAAGCTAGCAAAATATGTATGTATCAATGCCACATACAAATTTCGTACAATGAAAAGAAAAAAGGAGATAAAATAGAGGTTGTAAGTGGAATATGGCTAGTCCTAGTTGTTAAAATTTGGCAGACATGAGAGACATCATTTTCAAAATAGAGTCTGCATAATATGGTTAACAAAACAGGATCCTTCTTCTTCTTCATACCTGCACATTATCACAAACCATGCCATTATCTTCTATGATCATCCATGACACAACTGGATCGCTCTTTGAATCATTTTACGTGTATATTAAAAGAAGCAAGCGCAAGAGGGCATCACCTCCTTCTAAACGCCTTATGATGACTTCTTAAGCTTTGCTAATTCATCCAACACATTTTTTAGAGGCTCTTGCACCTTATTTTCCTTGCCCTGTGAGAAGTAAAACAAAAACCAATTTCAAGGGAAACAGCAACAACATATTCCACTATACACACACTCAAAAACACATCCCGTGTGCAATGCTTGTGTATTGGGTTCATGACTTGGAGGTATCGGGGTCTGAACTTTTTTTTTTGGGTATAACCAGGATTTCCACCGTCGAACACAGTGAATAATCCCCTAGCTGAATTGTAGGCACCTCTTTTAGGTGGGACAGCTAGCCTAGAGATTTAAGGCTGCTCCATTCCCAAAGCCAAGAATCGAACCCTTGACCTTTGGTTAAGGATGGATGAGTCCCCTTCCACTCAACCACACCCTCCAGGTTATCGGGGTCTGAACTTTGAATTCATGAAGTAATGAAAAACAACGACTCCAACGCTTCAAAAAACAAATTTCCGAATGTATTTCAGAACCATAATTCAATCTCACAAACCTAATTACAGCTTTAACTCATACAGCTCCTTACCCTTAGAAGATAAAAGGCATAGTCTTAATTACAAAAGATCTGGCCTCTTTTAGTTGCATGAAGAAATAAGAAAATTCTAGCAGAATATATGCAGGATGATAAAAAAAATTAAAAGGATTGAGAAACTTCCTTTTACTAAACAACCCAATAAATAAATAAATAAATCCTAAAGTTAATTTAACTTTTACTTTCAAAAGAAAATGACATGATCATATACCTCTCCAAGACTTCAAATTAAAAAGGACTAATATATTTTACCTTCAAGGATCGGACAAGTGCAAAAACTTCATCAACAGATTCAGGGTGAAAGTTGGCAATCATGCACATCTGCAATCCTAAGCATGTAAGTAAATGCATTGCAAGAATAGCTGAATATCAGATATTAACCACTTAAAACTAGATACCTCGCCATCAGATACACCATGCTCCTTCAAAGGTCTAATATGAGTTAATGGCACAACAGCTTTAGAGAGAAATAGCAAAAAGTGTATTCATATGGCATACAATGATTTACATTTATAAAAGGATACTGGAGTGCTTGTTTAACCGTCTTTGAATTCTCATAAAGTTTGTGTCTTCGTGCATACATCAGTCCATTGTCAAATGATCTGGTGGCAAAATAATAAATTAAAATCAGAAGACTCACAACCAGTTTAGAGCTTTGAATATAATTATGGTTTATGATTATGAAGGGAAAAAAGCACCTATGATTCCTAAGGTAAAAAAAAAAAAAAAAAAAAAAAAAAAAAAAACGCTTCATTTGTGGAGAAGAAGCACTCCAAAAAAATGCTTCATTTGGGGAGAAGAAGCACTCCAAAAAAAAACGCTTCATTTGGGGAGAAGAAGCACTCCAGAAAAGCTTCGATTTTATTCCTAAGTTTCTAAGCCTGTGACGCGATCCTAGATATCCTGGCCTATAACATAGCATTTGTAAATTCAATTATTCCATATTAGCTGTCCTCCAAAGTGGCTATTTTGTGATATGGGGGACCGAAATAAACACTTTAGAAGATAATTAAGGAGTAGATCAGTAACACCTAGTATCTTAAGGATTGAATTAACAAAACGCTACAACCTTAGGTACCAAAAGTATTTTTTCCTGATTATATGAATAATCAAAGATCAACACTTATGGATCATTGGCTTAAATGTATTGTACAATCCACGATCTTTGCAAATATTTAGCAAGTAGATTGCTTAATTTATAATCTGTCAATAATAAGAATTAATAAGCTTTAGTAAACATGCACATAACTAAAGAAACAAGAGTCATATTTTTTTTTATGACAAGTCATGAGTAAAAGGCATAACATGCTACCCACACAGGAAGTTTTATGGTTGGATCTTCAGAGAGTACAACCATTTGCTCCTGGATTCCATGCAAGATTTCTGCAGCCTCACAATCCAGCAGGCATTTAGTATTCCCAGAAATTTCTGCAAATCCAGAGATTAATAGTTTTAGGAAAATGAAACGGGGATACCAACTATAAATACAATTAGCAAGATATCCAATGTGGCACAGTTAAATCTTTCAGGAGTGAACTTCCTAAACAAAGGAAGTGAAGAACCTTGTCATTGCAGAAAGGTCACCTATTTAATTTTCCTTTGAATAACAGAATAGAAGAGTACCGATAAACTGAAAAGTAACATGTAGACGCTTGAAAGGAAGTTGAAGTAGCAACCACTATAATTTATAGGCAACATTTAGAACATACAGTTTGTTTTAACTTCTGAAGTCATGGAAAATACTGGGAGAGAACAAGGAAAATGAAGAAATAATTCAGGCACAATTTTAGTTCTTTGTTTAAGCATTTCAAATGTTTGAGAGCAAAGCCATCCTCTTTAAAATTAGAATTAGATAAAGAGGGAAAAGAGAAAAGAAGAAAATGCAGATAAGAGAACTAGAAAGGTAAAAATTATGTACTGCTATTCTATCAAGTGTAGTATCCAAGCTAGAAAAATGATTGGCAACTAAAAATGCATATTTAAGCTAAGACAGTAAACAAACCTTGCTCAACCCTGAGCTCCAAAGGAGTAGGTGCTTTTGCAGTTTGGCCTTTGCCACTTTTTCCAACCTTGTCTCCTTTTCACAATCACAAAATGTATTTCCACCAAAAATAAAAATAAATTCTGAAATGGAAAAGAAAGTGATTGCGTGGAAACATTTTTGGTATTCAATAATACTAATAGGAGCCTAACCTTTGCCAACTGGTTTATCTGCTTTCCCATTAGATTTCATGAAACTCCCATCCAGTGAATCTAGCATTTATAATATTGAACAACATTGAAGTCATCAAGCACCATAAATACCAGATAAGCATGAGATATTTACAGAAATATGTTTTTTTCCCCTCTTAAGGAAAAAATTGAACATAATAAGAAAAATGCTGTCAAACAATTATCTAACCATCAGAATCGAATTGAACTTTCCTTCCTTTCTTTGTCTTTCCTGAGCTGTCATCCTTCCCTTTTGCAGATGCTACAAAATTAAATACACTTTTAGAGAATTGTATTCGAACAGAACCCAATGGAAACATACACTGTTTGAACAAGTAAAACACAATGTATAAAATGCTTTCTTCATTAAACATGTTAAAGCATTAATTTGCACCTATTACTCCAAAAGAATAAAACAAGAATGTGTTTGCTACATAACAATTGTTGAGGATAATTTATATAAAATATAAATGTGTAGTCTAACTGGTTAGACTTTTAGTTGAGACGGAATACATCATTTAATTTGCTACCAATAAAGAGACTATGTCCTTGTGACCCATCAAAAAGTATTCAGCCCACACATGAGAGAAGGGTGTATAATAATAAATAATATATAAAAAATAGTATAAGTTTGGAAAAAGACATAAGCAACACTACATCCAGCACAATCCAATCACAGAAATTTCATATGTTAAAAGCACTAAGCAGCAAACACAAATACATACATACACAAAGAACAGAGAAAACCAATAACAGGACTAATCAAACGCAAGTATTGAGATAATAAGATAACGATCAAGGGGTGGAATTACAAGTTTTGAGAGCAGATTTTCCTCCATTAGGCTGCGATTTCCCTTTCCCTCCTTTTTCCGTCATTACTCTTCACTGAAAAATACATATACATATATACATACACATTACAAATACACAAAATCAAATATTCAAATGTTGTAACTTGTAAGACCGAGAAACAAAATGAAACCCGTTTTTGGGACTCAGAAGTACTACTGGTTGGTGACTTTATTCGGGGAAATAAAATGAAAAATATTTAACGAATTCTTTTTCTAGCGTGTGAAGTAATCAAAGAACTCAATTATTACTAATCGAAAAGCTTAGCCTTCAGAAAACTGCAAAATTACCTGAAGAGCGAAGAGGGAGGAGCTTCAACTGAGCAGTGCCGCCAATAAAGCAGAGCAGAGTATTATATTAGGGAGAAACGTGAATTGAGTGCAGAAGAATAGAGAAGAGTGAAGGGGTATACGTACGAAATATGGAGTGTATATATATATAGCTTATATATAAGGCGATCAATTGTAGCCGGTTAGGTTCACAACAAAAAAAAAATATTTTATTGGGATTTGGGAGAATATTTTTCTTTAAATTTAACAAAAAAAAAAAAGGATTTTGAGGGAAATGAATTCATTATACTTGTTTGGCATTTTATTTTTCCTACTTATTATTATTATTAGTATTTTATATTTGCGATGTGCAAAAAATTATATGTCCAATATTAATATTAAATAGAGAAAATTTTAATTTTAGTCCTATGACTATAGAGGTCTTGTTAATTTCACCGTCAGTGACTTTCAAAAGTGTGAATTTAGTACCTCGACTATGGAAATTTTTTCAATTTTGGTCACTCTGGCCAAATTATCGGCTAAATTTTGTCAAAAAATATTAATGGTTAAAAAATTAAGGATATTTTAGTCATTTCACCCCTCTTATATTCTTCCCCCGCAGTCCGTCTTTTCCAACGAAAACTTCGTTGTTTGAAGCCATGGCGTATGGCGTGATTTTTTTCCCAACGGAAACTTCGCCAGAGTTTTGTTGCTCGATGCGTTCCGGAGACATTAAGTTTCTTGCTTCCAATTCAGCCATTGCAAATGACCTAATCGCCTTTGATGACCATTTGGGAGCATTCTCTAGAGAAACAACTGCATATGCATTCAAAGTTGGGAGGCTGAGAGAGATTGTGGCTTTTATGGGTGAATGCTTGGAAAAAAAAGGGTCTGAACTTGAAGGGTTGCAGTGAAATTCTGGTGAGAGTAGCGAGGCAGGGAAACTTCAATTCCTCCGCTGCGAGTTGGACGGAATTTGTTGATTCCGGTGGTGGCAGTCGGGACGATGGAGACGTAGTGAGCGGCCATTTCATTCGATTCTTCGCTCCCAGCCGAGAACTTCTGGATAGAAGCGGACCAGAGAAATGACGGCCGTTCCGAAGACATTGAATAGCGTAATTGGGTATTAGGTATAACTGCAGAACAAGGACGAAGTTTCTGTTGCCGTCGAACACCTCAATGCCACCGGCTATCACCATCTTCTCCGATGAATTTCCACAGATCCGGAGAAGATATGGGAAGAAAAAAAAATACATGCAAAAGACTAAAATACCCTCAATTTTTTACCCATTAATATTTTCCGGTGAAATTCGGCCGGAATGACCAAAATTGACAAATATTACATAGTCGAGGTACTAAATTGACACTTTTGAAAGTTAGGCACTGAAATTAACAAGACCCCTATAGTCATAGGACCAGGTGTGATTCATATTAATATTATTGAGGTAAGAATTATAGAAATGATAAATTACTAAATATAACTATGGTAACATTTAATTAAAATCTAATAAATGAATTCAAACTTACCATTGAAGGATGCAAGAAAAAATAATGGGTATGCATGTACATGATAATAATAATGTGGAAAGATAACAGAAGTTATAACGGTAGGGAAATTTTTGTCCAACAAATTATGTTGTACAACTTTTAGAGCATAAGATACAAAAAAAAAAAAAAAAGGGACAAAAACCATAGGTATAACCTGGATTGAAACTTATTATATTTTTAGATTATTATACCTTCACATATTTTACTAGGATCAAAGAGTGAAATAGGCAAAAAATAAAGAAGTTTGACAAAAATAGGAAGCTTTTGAAAGTTAGACAAAAATAGGCAAAGCTCATTTGCCAAATGCATTTTTTCTCAGACCCGCGTATACACTACGAGAGACACGCAAGTCCCACTTGTGTGTCTCCTTGACCGGCGAAGACTTGCTTAGGTGAGAACATGAGAACAAATCGTGTGAATCCATCTAATATTTTTTAATGATCTAGATTAGATTAAGTGTGTGCGAACGCGAACTAAATGTGTGCAAAGGCGATTAAGTGCGTTTGCACACATTTAATTCGCGTTCGCACACACTTAATCTAATCTAGACAATTAGATGGATGCACAACTTATTCTCACGTTCTCACCTAAGCAAGTGTTCTCATTGGAACCCTATTATATATATATATATATATATATATATATATATATATATATATATATATATATATATATATATATATATATATATATATATATATATATGGTTCAGTTCAAATGAGGACAACAATATATAGAGGACTGTGAGGACAAATAATGGGCACACACAAAATTACTATCAGACACAATTTAATATATAATGGCACACAAGAATACATGTAAACATCAGGTTTCGAACCCAGGCTCTATTAATTAACAAATGTATGAACGCGACATACAAACTGTGGCACACGACTACATTCGGCCATGCACACGACATACAGACTAATGACACACACTACATCTGTCCTCACAGTCCTCTATAATATACTTGTCATCATTTGAACGCAAGTATATATATATATATATATATATATATATATATATATATATATATATATATATATATATATATATATATATATATATATATTGATACTGCTAATTCTACGTAAGCAATATAAAATAAACCCGAGACCAATTAAAGCAAGTAAAAGACTTTATTGATCACGGTAAAGGCCCTAAGTACAATCTACTTGGTTGCTCTGAGTGCCGACTGACTGCGGTCGGGATTCTCCAGTAACAACCTATCGATCGTCCAAAAGTCCTCTACACTGTAGCTACTGTGGGTATTTATAGCCGCTGTGCCGGGGACAAGAATCCGGCCGTTCGGCATGTTCTCCACGTAGCCACCACGTGTCATCCTCCCGGGTGCCCTATCTGTCGTCGTAAAGAGCTGCCACGTGTCCTTTGTCAGCTCTCTCGCCAAAGGGCTACCGCTCGGTGGTTAACACTACTGCTCGGGCAACTCCCGGTCAGACCCCGACCGGGTTCTTCACAAAGAGCCCGACCTGCTACCTGCAAAGACAAAAAGACAAAGACGAAGGCACCTCGGTCGTGGTAGAGCTATGGCGGTCGGGATATTCCCTACCAAAAGCCCCCCAGCCCGGGCCTTTTTGACCGTCCGGGAAAAACGGGACGGGATGAAGAAGCCCAAACGTCGGCCAACAAACCGACCGACCAGCTGTCATTCCCTCCCTCGCCACGTGTCGGCCACTGCTGGCCTCGACGACTGCAACGGTCGCCTCGGAATCAGTGCGGGTCGTGTCACGCAAGTGGATTGGTTTCCCGCCTAAATGCTCTCCTATAAATAGGCCCTTGAGGCCTTCATTTGAACTTTCCTCAATCCACTGAAGCAATCGGTACCCTCCGAGAGTCCCGAGCAGCAGTTCAGCGAACCAATCGAGCAAACCAAGCTTCAAGTTTTCTTCTAAGTATCATCAACCGGTAAGCTCTTAATTCCTTATCTTTTTCTTCGTTCTTAACTTTGCGTAGGAATAGGATAGAATTAACTCCGAACTAACTTCCCGAACCCCGTACTAACCCCGACCGACCTTTAGGTAGAACCACATGTCGGACTCGGATAGCCAAAACGTCTCGGTCGCAGATTACGACCACGGTTTCGAGCAGATCAGCGACGAGGAGATAGAGATCATGTCCGATTCTCCCGAAGTCGTTTAATGACCGGGGAAGGCTCCCGAGCGAGCCCCCGAGCAACAGGCATCCTCGAGCACAAGCGACTCTTCGGGATCGAGCTCGAGCGGTTCGGGAAACTTAGGCCGCGAGAGTGTGGTTATTAGAGAAACGCCCACCCGGGTGATAGGGGATCACCCGGAGACCATTCTACAAGGAGACGATCTGCCGGACAGTAGCGAACTGGTCGATGAGGAGATGACCGAACCGGAGATCGGTAAGGATGACGGGTTCGAATATTTGAACAGCGAGAGCGTCGCCCAACAAATGAGTGAACTGACGCATGGGGAAGCTGCGCGGATCGCGGAAAGACTAAGCGGTCGAGTGGAGTTCAACACAAGTCGGCGGCTCGGGAATGTTATCAATCGTCACCGGGGCAAGTGGATCGGGATGCACTATGACTCCCTACTAGCCCCGGTCGTCTTCCCATTCACCGCCATCTTGACCGCTTTCCTGGGCTACTACCAGGTCATGCCAGCCCAAATCTGCCCGAACTCGCATCACATCATAGCATGCTTTCCGCAGATTTGTGCTCGGCATAAGGTACCCTGCACGATGGAGCTCTTCAACTACATTTATCAGGTGAAGGTCCTCTCGGGCAACTACGGAGGTGGGTTCTTGATGGTGCAATCCCGAGAGGGAAGGTGCTCGATCGCAGGCCTGCCCGGGAACAACAAAGGGTGGAAAAGGAGGATCTTCTCGGTCAAGTACGACCCATGGATCCTCCCAATCGACAGAGTCTGGAGCACCCGTTTCAGGAAACAAGTCACGCCGGTCGAGACCCCAGCTTTTCGGGAGGCTGCCGTCCGGATCTCAAACGAGATCCACGAATACAAGATCTTCCAATCGGCAAAGAGCCTTAAAGCCGCCCGGTTACCAGATTCGGTATATGATCTGAAAGAGAAGTATAAGCCCGTGCCGATGGGCGTGGTGGTAGCAGGTCCTCCTACTCGGGGTAAACGGAAGAAGACAGGTTTATCCTTGACTAACTCTCCCGCTCGTAACTCCTCGAGCAACGAATCTACTCCCGAGCTAACGTAGTTATTTCTTTTGCAGATATGGCGCCAAAACGCTTCAACAGCGGAGCTCCAAAGTCTCCTCCCCGAACGAAGATAACTTTGGGGAAGAAAAAGACAACTGCTGGGTCTTCGGGAGGGGATTCCATCCCGGTTGCCCGACCCTTGTGCCCCATCCCGATCATCACCGACGAGGGCGGAGTCCTGGATGCCTCGGACACATTGGTCACCCGAGTGACCAGCAAGCCAAAGGGGCAAACAACAGAGAAAGCGGTCGAGGAAGCGGCCGGGAGCAAGAGGCAAAGGACAGAGAAGAGCCCGAGCCCAGCGGTCGGGTCTGCCATGGCTGATGCCTCCATACTATCTCGGATCGGCAATCTGACGTCGGTCGAGATAGACCTGACCAAGCTGAGCCCGACCCAATTGGCAGAACGGCTCGG